TGTTTTTTGTCCTCCTGGAATGTGTATTTTCCTTGTTTCTGGATGGCATATTTGCAGCCTGCTGGAAAGCACTCTGAGGTAGTTGAATGACTTTGCTGTTGACTTCAGTGGGAGCTGGATCAAGGCCTTTTTTCTGAGTTTCATCCTCTCTCCGGTTTCCTTCTCCCACTGAACACTTTCCGATGGCTGAAGCACCCTGATTGTCTGTTTCTGCTTCTTCACACTGCGACTAACACTGAATGCTGCTATCTCCTTGTTTCCCAGTTTCTTTTATAAATTAAGAAAAGGTGTGCTGAAAAGTTCYTAACTGTGTCTACACGGGGTGTGCTCTGGTTGGAGCTTTGTTCCCTGCTACCTGACGAGCGCATGTGTGCCTGCCCAGCTGCTCGGGAAGAGCAACTGAACCTGAGCTGAAAGTGTGGAAGTGGTGGTGGAGACTTTGCCTCTTTTGGTTCTGTGTGTTCCAAGATGCTGCCTGTCCTGGAAAGCCCCCTCAGCTGCTGGGTTTGCATGGCTCTCCCGTGACTCTGCAGAAYGAGTGTCCCCACGCTTGCGGTTGCGGCCACCTGAAACTCTGCAAAGCTCTGACACGACAGGGACTCCTCACAGTGCACATGACAAGTAGTTCCTTCATCCCCTCCAGCACTGACACATCCAATTTCCAGAGTCTGTGTTCATCCTGCTGTTATCTTTCACATGAGGATAGATATAGAATAAAGTTAATTCTATATGAATAAAATCAGCAATAGGAATAAGTCAGGCTAAGATCTAAAATCGAAATATTTCATGGAAATACACCCCAACTTTTTGACCCCTCTGTCCAATGCATAGGTTTTGTCTGTGTTTTGATCAAGCAGAAATCCTGAGAGCTGTTTGCTCTACTCTCTGTAGAAGCCACAGAAACAGCCTGAAAGACTGAGGGGCCTTTTGTATATATACTCAACCACTAGGCCACTACAGCCAGYATTCTTTGATATGCCTTTTCGTAAGGCAACCATGTAGTTTTTAACTGATCTAAAATTGAAGAGAGTGAAATGGCCTCTAATTTATGAGTAAGTATTGCTAAATTGAGAAAGAATGGATGATGCTTGAGCTGACTGCTGTGTGTTTAACAGAAGCATATATAGACTTCTCTGCAGTCTGATTCCTTTAAAAATAGCTTTTTTACTTTATTTTTGCTTTAGAAAAAGAATCCTGATTTCCCCTTCATTCTCTTTAAAATGATTTCCCCAAACTCGATTTGTTACACCGATTTATCTATTGTATTGTACTACCACCTTAGCAAAGCTCAGGAAATCTCAGTATTGATCCAATTTGCAAGACTGCCAGGATCACATGTTTGAGTCATGCTTCATTTCTTACACAACCTTTAAAACAGGAAATGAACCTTACTCAAAGACTGTTTAGTACTGAGAAAGATGCAGCTTTAACCTGCAATCTGCTTTGACTTTGAATCATCACTTTAATGAAATTTGCATTCAAGTTCCTTTAATCCATTTTATTAACCGGGTATTTTCTTTCTCTTTTCCCCCCTCTCAAACTCTTCTCCACCATTTGTGTTTCTCTTTAATGATCCCTTCTCCTCATCATTCTCTGTATTTAGATGGCTGATAGTCCCTGTAGTAGTGCTCCATGCAGTTAAAAAATGGAGTAAGCTCTGAGGATGCTCCTTAGCTTCAGGGAGCATTTAGGATGTTAGGGTTATTCATATGCTAGTGTTATGTTTGCACTATTTGCTTTGTGGCCATGGGAATTTAGCATGGTAAGATATCWCTTCCCAGAGTGATGGCTTCATCTGCCATCTCTGCTAGTGTTGTTTGTGCAATCTCTTCCTATCACTTAACAACACTTGGTAACAGAGGTGGAAGAAGAAAAATGATGTGTGTGTGCGTGGGCAGCAAAATAATTAGCTTGAATTTTACATTGACTTTATATTAGTCATACAAATTTTTCACTTTCCYAAATGCACATTTCAGAAAGCATGTTCTATGTCATGCATTAGTTTTGTATGAATTATTTGTACATTGATAGACACACACCTTCAAAAGGGAAAAGCTCTTCAAGTCCTGGAACCACAATGGCACCATCCAGATGCCCTGTTATGTGGCAAATAGGCAGACAGTAGGAGACTGCTGTGATACAGAAAATGTTTTCTTATTAATATTTGCTTTACTCTCTTGTATAACCAAAAGTTACATTAAATGTGCTGAGTAAAAAAAAAGAAAGGATGAAAAGAAATTGGATTAAATAAGTGGATGAAAAACGAATGTWGCAAGAAGATGGGAGATAAACAGGRTGGTATGGTGGAAAARGATGTATTTTTACACTCTGTGTCTGCAAACCCTGTGTCAGTGTTCTGCCCTTTTAGGCTTATGCCACAGGTCTAGAGCTCAGAGATTGTCCCCTGCASTTTCTTTCCTTGGCACTATATTCATTCTAGTTCTCCAAAATCTGTTCTCCAGCAATTCCATAGTATTCTACAGCTGGATTTGGGAACTGGCTCTTCCACAGTTGAAGTGATAATTGGCATTAATTTTTCTGTGCTGTCCTCACACTGTTCTGCTTGTCTTAATAACTACCTTAGATATAAAACCTTCTACCTTATGATAGAAACAGCTGTTTTCACAATGAATAATAATAATATCCTACTGGTTTTATCCTAGCAGTGTTATCTCTCTTCCAAGAGCCTTATCTTTGCTGGTTTTTCCACTCTTTGGAGTCATGGTTGCTTCCAGTGAGAGACTGATGAAGTCAGATGGACTGATAGATTTACTGACCTACCAGGCATATTCAGTAAACTCAGAATGAAAGAAGGAGTTACARTCCTATTCAAAGATCCCATAATTGTTGTCATAAGGGATATTATTTGGTTTGGATCCTCCYCTTTGGTGTGTCTGTGTTCTTCTGGCAGTGAACAGCAGGTTTGGCATTGCTGAGGCACGCAGGGAGATAACCCGAGGAGGACATAGGACAGCAGGTGACCCAGCAGGAATATTTTGTGATGGATAGCAAAAGAAGCACACAATTGTGTTAAAGCACACAATCCTGATTATTATGTCAGTAAAGAAAATAACTGAATCCTAAATATTGTGTTGATGACAGCTTGCACAATGAAAAATGTGAATGCTGTTTTAATTCAGTCAGAGCTGTCATTAGCTTGTGGTAGTTGTGGGGGGAGCGTTTGTGTTTCTCTTAGCAGTAGCTGTAAAATGAGAAACTCTTCTTCCAGCAGTGTCACTAGCTGCCTCAAACACACCCGTTGTACTGGAGACTTGGACACATTCTCTGAAATATTACCCAGAACCACTTGGATAACACCACTTYATGCACTTCAGGGGCAATTGCAGCGCAAGCCAAGAGCATTAGTGCACAACTGAGCATTTAGTGTCTCTTAAGCTCTTCTTTTATCTRGGCTCTAACATGTAMAAAAAATGTATTWTGTGAAGGAAGCTCCCATTTTTCTCAACTAATCCCCAGACAATGGAAGCTGTAAAATGTTTTCATTTTCTTTTTCTCCCCCTTGTTAAAACCACAGAAACACCAACCTCTAAGGAATGAGCTAATGGTTGTACTACCCAGAGTTTTCCCCTAAGCAAAGCCTAGAGGTATCTGAATGGCAGTAGACTAGGAGCCTGCATGTGTGAGACAGACTGGCATCCGTGGTGCATGGTGTGCTTCCGACTGGCGCTTGTGGCTCCTTCCCATCGTCCATCTCTGACCTGCACGGTGTGTGGAGTGTTGTGTTTTTACAGCATGTGGAATTCTYGTAGCTGTGTGGACAATGAATGGATGCAATGTTTGTTGCACAGAACGGTCAAGGGGGCAGTGGAAAAATCCCTGTGTTTGTTACTCCTGTTATAAGGGCTTTTCTCTATTGCAGGTCCTTCAGTAGCATTTCTGCGAYTCYCCATRTGCTGGTTCTATTTTAGTGGCTAGAAGTAGGCCTGACACCGTTCTGTCTCATCTACTCTTATTTTCAGTTCCAGCAACCTGACATTCCCATCCCACATCAGGCATGATCCTCTAACAAACAAGTAAAAAAAAAATGGAAGTAGTTCTACACCTTTACCAAGAATGTCCCCAATCTGTCAAAATCTACCTGTTGGTTATATGTGGAACTATAGAAAATTCATAGCAAGAGAAATTCCAAACAAAATGAAATGTTTTTCTCCCTTTTAAAGAAAAATAAATTAATAACTTACCTTGTGCTAGAAGCAGGGAGCTGTAGATGGCCTTTTGCATCTCTAAATTTTCCAGTGGGACATTGTATGGCTGTACAAGGTAACACAGAATACCAAAAATCCATAAATAAACTTCTTATATAGTGACTCTAGCTCTTCTCATCTGACCAAACCCCAAAATTTGTCTTCAAACCATAATGATATACTGGGGTTTTTTATTTAAATAGGTGATAATCCCACTGATGGAGTATGAATTGTATTCATGCACTCCAGAGTGAAATTCGATGTTTTTAATATGCAGAACCCTTTCTTCTAAGAAATTAGAGTTTATCAGATAACTAGAAAATTATATTGAGAAGCTAAAAAACAAAAACAAAACAAAACAAAAAACCGCTCAAGCCTTCCAATTAGAATTGGCTTTATATTTTTGAATCATAAGTAATTTTCTTCAATAAGATGTATTTGCTTGTGAAGTATTTAAAGAGTGTSAGCTTTAAATACAGCTGCTTGCAGGTACAGAGTAGCAATATTTGCCCTTTTCAATAGGTACACATGTTCACATTTATTAGTGTCTGCTGGTTTTTACCAACAGCAGCCCTATGATGTAAGACTTTCTGTGGAGAACTCTCAGGCAGTAGTTGCCAGTTTAATTACTAATGAACTCAGCATGATTTGGTGCTTCACATGGGAGAAAGGCTTTTTCTCATTGTACCTCTTGAGCAAGAGCTCTGTTTACATACGTCGTTTGTCACGTATGTGGACCATAACCGAGGGAAGGGGTGATGTGCTCCGTGTCTCATCATTTCCCTGTTTTTCCAGCTTCCTGGTGAGCTTCATGGTGGACGCTCGCGGCGGCGCCATGCGGGGCTGCCGGCACAACGGGCTGCGCATCATCATCCCCCCGCGGAAATGCACGGCGCCGACGCGCGTCACCTGCCGCCTGGTGAAGCGCCACAGGCTGGCCACCATGCCGCCCATGGTGGAGGGAGAGGGGCTGGCCAGCCGCCTCATCGAAGTGGGACCTTCTGGGGCGCAGTTCCTTGGGTAAGGGGGGCCCGAAGGAAAACCTTCAGCCTCTTTTTGTGCTTGCGTTGCACTGAAATGGTTCCTTTTCGAGCTTGAAATGAGAAAGRTCTCTGTAACGTGTGGTAACAAATAGAGCAGTGGTGTGAAATGCAGAGCAGCTGTCAGTGAATGATTCACAAAGCTTTTATACCTTCTCCTTTCAAAATGGGTGTTTGAACCACCAGCACTGTGGTTAGTGTGCTTCCTTGGGTGTAATTATTGCTCAGTGTTKTGATATTATAGAGGGAAAAGACTTTTCAGCCAGAAAAGGCAGTTCATACTATATTAAAAAAATTAATAGTTCTGCACTGATATAAACCCCAAATGTGAAGCCTGCTACATACACAACACAAGGTGCAGGAGCTTATTTTAGAGTCTTGTGTTGTGGTATTGGTAATTTGGACTGTCACGGAAGCACAGTGCCTTGAATTTTTCTGGGGTTGACATCGCTAAATTACACAATAGGACAACCCTGAAATTTTTTGATGATTTCTTTTGTCCTATGCTGCAAAGCCCRTAGAAAGATCAGATTTCTATCTGCTGCTGAGCTCATCTTAGCAATTTTCAGCTGAAAGCAGCAGTTATCTGCACTTTTGAAAATTTGTTTTAGCAACCATTCTCCTTATCAACTGTGACATCCAAAAGTGGATGATTGAAGGAACCCCTTCTAATGCAGWAAATAACTTCATTCAGAAACTGTTAAAAAAGTGACTGTAAACAGCAATGGTTTAAATCCATTTGGAAACAACTCAGTTGCTTTAAAATCCTGTTATAACAGGCAGTCATCAGAGCCACCATCTTTGTTAGTGCTATCACTTATTCTTTTCACRTCTTGGTCACTTCTAAAAGGAAGGAGAAAGAAATCTAAAGAGCAGAAGAAATACTGTGCTGTCACATTCAGTCTTCCCATTATCTTTGTCACACACAAATGGATTTTAAGTATGTCTCCCATTCTTTTGTAATGGTTTCCCTATCTGATGAGAGTGTCTCCCCTGCAAGACAAGCATATAGKGTAGTTTATTCATTCTCAGATCTTTGCGCCCTTCCTGCAAGCATTTTCCAAAGTGTTGTGCTGGCAGTGAGATCAGAAAATCACTGTAGAAATGTTTGCAGAGGTKCATTCTAAGGTCCAGATCCTGCTCCCCTTGAGTACACGGCCAAAACTCCCCTAAAAAAGAAAAGATCCTAAATTAACAAAACTGCTTTTCTGATTTGGGTCACCAAATTGTCATGGCTAGGACGGAACCTTATTCAGTGTACAGCCTAATTCCACTCTGTGGACCAGACAGTGGCACTGGCGTTCTGGCACAAAAAATACATAAAGTTTATTTATGTTCTTTCTTTCACTGCTGCTTTGGATGTACTCAGTAAACTTCATCTGCCTACGGCTCCTCCCCCACTTAATGAGGGAGAAAGCTTGGTCAGCCGAATCCTTCAGCTGGGGCCTCCTGGGACCAAATTCCTTGGGTAGGAGACACTTGAAACAAATTGATGGATGCTGACCTCCCCATTCTTCTCCTCCTTCTGCAATATGATTTTTTTATGTCATTATGCCCATGATATTGTCCCTTTCTATCATTTGAAATTTTGTACACTTAACCCTTAGTGGACCATTTTTCAACCTTTGTGGTTTGTGGTTTTGTTTTGGTGGTATGTTTGTATCTTTTTCTTCAAGTACTGTGGCCTTCATTTTTGTTTTGGCATGAAATCTTTCTAGTTCTGTGCTTGATGTCTGTAGCAAAGCAACCTGGATTGGGACCACAAAAAAAAAGAATCTACTGTAAATTTTAAACTGTTTTTTTTCCTATCAAGTACTGATCAATCTATAAGTTATGTGTTGGATACCTGGTGTGATAGAGCACATGGCATTTACTGCATATATGGTAACCTGTGTGAGTCCTCTAATTAGAGAAGTGTATCTACAAATACATTTATATCTTCTCTCTTATTTCTAAGARTATGTATGTATATGTATATCTCAATACAGATGTATTATATGTACACATATCTATTGTATATGTGTATGTATATATATATGGGTGCATATGCTGATGCAGATGTTGACTTTCAAGGCAACAAGGCAAATTCTTATCTCTTATACTGCAGTAGAAACCCAGACAATCTCATCAGATTTCCTGTATTGCTCCCAGGGTGTAAATCAGGAATAAATTCATTGGAATATATAGAATTAGAAAGAAATTAAATCGGTCCAGGAAACAATCATCTCTGGATTGCAATGAAATTATTCTGATTTGCACTAGTATAAGTGAGATCAGAATTTGTCTCACTATTCCTATACATTACAGTAGATTCTCTTTGAAATGAAGTTGCACAGGTTAACCCAGACAGTAGTGACAACTGAAACAAGCATGAGTTTTTGATGGATTTGCAAAAACAATCACYAAATTTCCAGATAAGCACTATTGTCTTACCAAATCTCATTCACACTGTGGAAAGAGGTGAATGCACTTTTTCATCTGTCCTTCAGCACTTACTGGGTCCCTGTAAAAATCTAGTCTGTGTTAGTGGCCTGCTAGTTTAGGATTGTGCCAAAGTATTCCAGCCAAATAGGTAGAATTCCAGGTCACTTTGTAGCAGACTGAATAGAGTTGCTGTTAATCCTGTTTCTTCCTCTCTCCCGTGTGCATTTAATGCGCTGTGTTGCTGTGCCAGGCCCGTGATTGTGGAGATTCCCCATTTTGCTGCCCTGCGTGGGAAGGAGAGAGAGCTGGTGATCCTGCGCAGCGAGAACGGGGACAGCTGGAAGGAGCATTTCTGTGAATACACCGAGGATGAACTGAATGAAATCCTGAATGGGATGGATGAAGGTATCCAGTGGGACTTCATTTCTTGTCATGCTCCCATGTTACTTCTGTACCTGGGGGGAACAGCTTTTACCGTGGTGCTCACTTCCCTTGCATGGGCTGCTGAAGTAGTGGGACAGGATGGTTCCCTTTGTGGAGCTGAGAACACACTCCAGACTTGTGTTTTCTCCTGTTCTTTTTCACAGTGTTAAATGAAAAGCTTCCATAGCAAACATCTTTCCAAAACAAGGCAATTACCATTCTAATCCTTTCAAAGCAGCTCCATGTGTGGGAGGAAATGTCAGTCATGGGTACTCTTGCTTTCTGTGAGAACAGAATGGCCTCGGGCTGTCTGGGAGCTGCAGAATTTGTTATTAATTTTGGGTTTTTTTACAGAAAAGCTCACAAACCCCAAAGYAAACAAGCCAACTCACAGAATTAAAGCTGAACTTGTGTTTTGATGCTATTTCATTTTGAAGTCCCATTTCATTGGTACTAGTTCAGACACTGTAAATATTTGAGGTAGAAAGGGGCTTGGACCAATCCCTTTGCTTGTTTGGCTGCTGATTTTGGAGGTGTTGTCAGTGTTTGCTGCCTTAAGCTGCCTTCACTTTGCAGCTCTGTCTGTCTGTCTGTTCTTTCTTGATTGCTCTGGTTTAGCCCAACACAGGGGTGTGTTTCCTTTTCCCATWATTTCTAGACAAAATACTTTGTGTAAGTTGCACCCAACTGTGAGAAGCTTGAGTGCAGTTTGAAGGTCTCTGTACTGCTCCTACAAGACCCTTGCCTTCTGAAAAAATCTGCTCTTTTGCCTTCCAGTACTTGACACTCCAGAGGAGCTTGAGAAGAAGAGGATCTGCCGCATCATCACGCGGGATTTCCCTCAGTACTTCGCAGTGGTGTCCCGGATCAAACAGGACAGCAACCTCATCGGGCCCGAGGGAGGGGTGCTGAGCAGCACTGTGGTCCCACAAGTGCAGGCAGTCTTCCCAGAAGGGGCTCTCACCAAGMGAATTCGTGTTGGCCTCCAGGTACAGTGAAGCATTCACCAAGCTTCACTTGGTTGCTTTTTTTTTTTTTGGTAAAACATCACCTTGTTAGAATAAAGAACCAGCATATTCTGCATATCATGTTGTATGTTGTCTACAGTGCTCTTAGTAAAAACAATAAAAGAAAAACAATCCACATGAAAGTCAAAGCAAGTAGTGAAAGCTTTGGATTTTCCCGTTTATTCAGAGTCTTATGTGTTAACTGTGTGTATAATTTTGGGAAGAGATTTTGGTGGTGGTGATAATGGTATTAGTGTAGGTCATAGAATTTCCTGAATACTTCTTATGAAAGGCATCAGAGAAGTACAAAGTGCTGCAATAATTAAATGTGCTACAAATAGTACATGTACAGATTTTCAGTGTGAAGGARCCAGCYTAACAATTCACTYCTCAAAGAGARGRWGGTCTTTYCCCTGTCTCCATCCTGTCCTCCTGMTRCATACATCCCTAATTTACMYTGTCCAGGAGRCTGTGYTTGTTGAAATCTCCTGGGATTAGCTGAATAGCTCATTAAAACAGCTCAGAGCTTGTTCTCAGGGGGAAGAAGTGACCAGGTTATCGTTTGCTACTGGTTAAGTGAATTTAAATTAATATTGTAAAAATCTGCCAAGTGTCAAGAARGGGGATAGGAAGAGGAGGTAGGCATGGGAAAGTTAAAAAAGTGAGGTCTCCCCTTCTTACTGACAGTCAGTTCTTCTGTCTGCAGATTTTCATGATGAATGGTGCTATTTAGTCTAAAAAGTTAAGGGTTTTGTGGCCAATGTAYAGACCCAGCACTTGACACATCATTAAATTGTTTTCAAGTAACTGCTCTGTTATTTTCTGTTGCTTTGGAAAGGCTCAACCTATGCACACTGAACTTACAAAGAAGATTTTGGGYAACAAGGCTACCTTCAGCCCCATAGTCACGCTGGAGCCCAGGAGAAGGAAATTCCAYAAGCCCATCACGATGACAATTCCAGTGCCCAAGGCCTCCGCCGATGGGCTCATGAATGGCTACGGAGGTGACACACCCACTCTGAGGTTACTRTGCAGCATCACAGGTAGGCTGCCACTGCTGGAACTCTCCATGTGCATCTGGAAACTGTCATTTCCTGGGGGTTGGAAATGCTGAGCGGATTACACACGGGAAGCTGGGTGGAAACCTCACTGCGGCAAGAAGCTGTGAAAATAAACTACTTTCCAAACAATTACTTTGTACCAGAAATTACAGTTGTTGTTTGCCCTAACAAGGGTTGTGTAATATAATCCTGGACTTGGGGTTTGGTGGGTTTTTTGCATCTTTGTTACAGTTTGTTTCTTGGGAACCAACATACCTCTGAGTAAGTGAAGTATGGACCTAATGTTGCAGGATGCTTAGGAGAAAAATAGAGGAGCTAAACACTTTACTTGCCATGACTCCAAAAGTGATGAGCTTCTCCTTGAGTCTTTCTTAAGAGACTGCAAGCATTTAATTKAATTAATTATTTTAATCCTGAGCTACGGGGCTCATCACTTAAAAATCCTTTGGGCACTTAGTTTTCTTAGGGTAAACCCATCCAGTCATACTAGCATTAGTGGAAGAATGTGGACCCAAGGAGTAGGCATGTCTGGGATTATTACTGGTTTCACAGCAATAAAAAATTCTAAAATATTTCTGAGGAGAAAAATAGTTGCAAATTTGCTTCATTTTAGTTTTATTTTTAAACCTGTGTCATTTCAGGAGGAACCACCCCTGCCCAATGGGAAGACATCACTGGGACAACACCACTGACATTTGTTAATGAATGTGTTTCCTTCACGACRAATGTGTCTGCCAGGTAACTACACAACCAAACAGGATTTTTACAGGGATATTCTCATATGCATGGCTTTGCTCCACAAATATTTCTGTTGAACTGTTTTAGTTTGGAGAGTAGAATGAACAGAGATATTTATTATTGTGCAAGTTTCCATGTGTCTCAGTTTAGAGACAGTTTTAGGAGAAAATGCTCTGGAATGAACATTTCCTCTAAAGAAAAGGGTTTCAGCAATCCCTTCCTGCCAAAATTAATTTTCTGGATGAAAGTGGAAAAACCCTGTTTATTTAACAAACAAGGTGCCCTGCAGGGCACAGGAAAAAACTAATAACTRTTAGATATTGAACCTTCAGAACCTTACCCCTCCACAAGCAGAGCAAACAAACCCAGAATGCCAGGGGAGGGAAAAATGACTGAGCACGTGGAGAGAAGGAACAAAGGCCCAATAAATGTAACAAATGGGCATCTACAATTGTCTTTTCCATACATCTGTTCTTGTGATGAGGTTTAACTGCTCTCTTACTAAAAATAGATTTTCAGTTCAAAAAAATAATACATATGTATGTGACCTGGAAAGTATTCCATCTAGGGTCTGTAGTCCAGGAAACAGTTAAAGAAATCATGGATAACTTACTCATGAATTTCAGCTCAAACATTCAGTGTCTGGGGCAGTTATTACTGTTAGATTAAGTCTGATATTTAATAAAGTAGTGTGTTCAGTGTTACAATGAGATCAGCTCTTGCAATGTAACCTCCAGTTTAAAATAAGGTGAAATAAAGCATTATTTTTTAATCATATCTCAGTTTAGAAAGGACTCTTTTCCCATTAAGCTGGCTGCTTTGCTGATGCACATTTCTGTTTGGTGTAACTAAACATTCCTCTAACAGCAGTGGCCACGAGAGGGGGACCTTACAGTGCATTCAGCTCAGCACTGCTGCTGCAGAGCTCTGTGCAAAGGCAGAAATTAAAGGCTAATTTAAGATCCACTTGTAGAAACAAGATGCAGCATTTGAGAGGCCTGATTCCCTAAAACTGTCAAATCCCCAGCAGGGTTGCAGGTGATAGCCAGAATTAGGGTAACAGTTTATAGTCCTATAGTCCACATTTGTAGTGGATCTTTTCTAGTCCTGACAATGACATGAAAATTGTTACTCTTGTTAATGTTATGCTGTGGCATAGGCAGGATCCCATGTAGAGATTTTAATGGGTTCTACTTATCCTTTTTAATCTAAATGCATGTTTTATTATCTACTTTGCCCCAAACAGTATTTTAAATGCTGGTAAGGTTAGAAAATGGTATTTTTCATCTATTTGCAAACAGAGAATTCATTACCTTCTTTGTCAAAGGACAAGCTAACTTTAATTTCTTGATTCCTTATGCCCTGGTCTAGAAGTGCCTCTGCCATTGTGCTTTGCCAAGAATCAGCTCATTTCTGACTCTTTGCTATTCACAATAGATTTTTTATGTCTAGTTAAGTCATTAATGATGGACAGCAGTTTTACCATTCAKAAGACTAATTCTGTCCAAAAAGAGCTTGGGAAAGAGATCTAGTTGTCATGTGAATTACACTGCAGACGTGGAGGCACAGTGTTTGTTTTCCATTTCCTGAGCTGCAGCTTTAAAAAGATTTARTATCTGTTGGGGCTTTTTTAGCCCCTGGTGTTTGACAGCAAATCACTGAGGCATCTGGTGGTTTCTCAGAGGATGTAGCCTCTCCAGTTGGAGTCCAGCACAGCATAATTCTCCCACGCAGGAAAAGGAAAGGATCAGTGTGCAGAGCCTTTCTGCAGCACACATGCTTTTCCTCTTTCAAATGTCAGCAGCCTGGGGTTTTGACCGGCACGTTTGTTAAGCGTTCTAAAGATCAGCACAGTGTGAAATTTGCTGTTATTCAGCTGCAGATGAGTAAGTGCAGAGCAGTCTCACTCCAAAGGTGTGCTTTGGGCTTACAATGCCATGTAATCCACAGTGAGGAATAACCCCCCTAGAGATCACAGCAGCTTTTGAGCTGCCTCTGACCTCTCCTGACTTCCGCCTTCATCCTCCGGCTGGGAAACTCAAGCTTTCCACCCACACGGTGGATTAAATTGAATAGAAATGGCATCAGCTCTGCAGAGAAACTCAAGTGGTAGCTGGCAAAGAAGGCAGTATGTGTTACTCCTTGGAAAATGCTTGGTGACTAAGTTCACATAGGAATAATTTCTGATTTCGCATGCAGCTTTGCATGGTGGACTGAGTAATTTCTGTTCTCCTAAAGACCTCARGTTTTGCCATTGTATGGAAGGAATTGACTGCTATTTCCCTGAGAGTGACAATTCCTTTTGTACTCTATTCTGACTTGTTATCTCCAGTTGCTGTGGTTACTAGGTAATGCTGCTGTGTTGGGGAAGCGTAATTTCCTTTCTTAAATCCTTCTCTGCTGATGGCACAACTCTTCATTTTTTTTTTACAGGTTTTGGTTGATAGACTGTCGACAGACACAAGAATCTGTTACTTTTGCTTCCCAAGTGTACAGAGAGATTATCTGTGTCCCCTACATGGCCAAATTYGTGGTGTTTGCCAAATCTCATGATCCCATTGAAGCACGGTTAAGATGTTTCTGCATGACAGATGACAAGGTGGATAAAACTCTAGAACAACAAGAAAACTTCGCTGAAGTTGCCAGAAGCAGGGATGTAGAGGTACCGTACAAGACTTAAAGTTTTCTCCATTTTCTGGTGTCTGCTTTTAAACTAATATTTTCTGCCTTCTATCTGCTGCAATGACTGAAAAATAACCTGCCAACAACTGTTATGATGCAGTATCAACAACTATGATAAGGTGGAAATTTGGACTTTTGTTTGGTGTAAGGAAAAAGTAGTGAGGAGACCCTATTGCCAGCAGGCAAGTGCCAAACTCAGTCCCCAGGGCTACAAGGGAGAGGCTCAGAGCCAAAAATGATGGCTAAATCCCACCTTTCAGTAAGCYCAGAAATGCACATCACTCACCAGAAAGGCAGCTGACAGTGCTCACAGTTTGTCAGAATGTTCACCTACCAAGTAGTTAAACTAGCAGCTTTGATTAATATTCTGCTTAACAAAAATAAAATTATATYAAATCTGTTGCTGAGCAGGCAAAAGCTTTCCTGTGTGGAATTCAGCAAACTGCCTGCTAAATGCAGTTTTTCTGGCTCTGTCAGCTTCCTCAGAAAGGATGACAAATTGAAGATGCTTTAACTTCAATGGCACATTCTGCTTAGTTCAGGATTTTTTCCATGAGTATCCCACCTTTCAAAAAATTACTGTCMCTGTTCCTGAAGCTCTGATGGGCTTGTTGTGTAGACCAGCAAGATAAAATATGGGCTTATCAAAMTGAATGACAAGGCTGAATTTCTGGAAGTAGAATCAACAGGCATACACTCTGAATTCTGGTGGCTAAAGAAAATATTTCTTTGACTGTGGTGATGAGGCCAGGTTAGCAAAGTATGCTAAAATTGGAGTCAATCAAAAATCCAAATTAAAATTTGGATTTAACACTTTGCCCGGATTTGTGACTCTCAGTCATATTTTGTCTTTTAAAGCACTGCACAATTGTTACTRAATTAACAATCTGTTCTCTTTGAAATATAATAATCTGAAATGTTTCTGCACATTTTTGGTCACTGTCTATAACAAATCCTCTAAATGCTGACAAGTCCTATCAATTCCACAAATTGGAACTATTGTAGAATTATCCTTAAGAAGAAATCCTAATCACCTCACAAGGATTAATTGACRATTTGCTTATTTTCCTTTCCAACAGGTATTAGAAGGAAAACCCATCTACGTTGACTGCTTTGGCAATTTGGTTCCCCTCACAAAGAGTGGACAGCACCATATATTCAGTTTCTTTGCCTTCAAAGAAAATAGACTTCCTCTATTTGTTAAGGTAATGTTGATGGCTCCTTTTTGTATATTTCAAGTTAACACTTCACCATATTTTTTGTGWAARAAGGAAAACGAAAATAAATAATTTMTATAAATTCCCAGCTGTAACCTAATTTTATCCCACTATTATGCAATTTAAAAACCTTTTTTATGAATGGGAAAATTTGTAAAATAAAAGCCAAAGTAAAACCCCTCCAGTCCTCCAAAATTAAGTAATTTTTGAGCCCACTGTGGTCAGGGCTGCTGTCACCAWGCCACTGTCACCATCTCTTCTGAGAGAGAGATTAGACAGCACTGGCAATGTCTTCCCATGAATTTTTCCTTCTACCTGGACATTCTGACTGCAGTGGAAGAAACTATTACCATTATATAAAAAACATTCGTAGAGAAATGATTTATGAGTGGAAACTTCCAGTAAGTGGAGAAAATCAACCCACTCTCTCATTGTATTATATTTGCTKTGTGCTGCTAGGCAAATTTAAAACTTTCTCCCTCCTTCCCAACAATATTTTGTGAGCTTGTTTTAATTTAAAACTTTGTATATGCCACTACCTTCCTTTGGCTTTGCGTATTTTCCCTCCTGCTAATTTTCCACCTTATACTGAATACATGAATACATCTGTATGTACATTTACAAACAGCAGGGGGGAATAGTGAAACCGTGTTGTTTYTGCCTACATGGACTTTCTCTCCCCCATGTGGTCCCTTCTGCTGAATATTTTTGAGAGGCACAAGTGGCTCATGCAGCAAAATAGCAGGTTCAATGTGTGTGTTTTTGCTGTGCCAGGTCCGAGATAGCACKCAAGAGCCCTGTGGACGATTATCATTCATGAAGGAGCCAAAATCCACCAGAGGCCTCGTTCATCAAGCCATATGTAATTTAAACATCACTTTACCCATTTACACAAAGGTACTGTGAAATTATACCCAGCTGTAGGTATTAACATTATAATGCAAACAAGAAGTGAGGAGGAGGGCAGAATATGGTTGGGCAGGGATTTGAAAGAGGAAAAAACTCCACCCAAGGGATTTTGGTGTCTTGGGTTTGATACTCCTAATTCCAGTGTTTGAAGATGTCATCTGGTGTTTCCTGAGGACTCAGAAGAGATGAGTGGGAGTGTCCTCAGATATTAAACACTTATTCCTTTAGAAAGTGTCAGTTTATATTTATTCTCTGAAAACTGAGTTGGGGGAGGTTTCTGTCCTGGTTAGATTAGAAGCTGCATGCCTTTTAGAGATGTATTTGCCCAAAATGGTATTCATTTTCTTCTCAGCGTTTTTAGAATATTATAGATCTTTATTACAGCATTTTATTATGATTTTAAAACAGAGCATCTCAACATATTTTAACTTTAAATGGTGAAAGTTCTTGAATATTTTAAGCATTTATTTGCACTAATTTATGGGTGAAAAAGCATGTATATATTTGAAGCTTTGGTACAAATAAGGATCACTAGAAKTCTAACTCTTCTGTTTGTATTTTGCTTGGTGCTGTAGCCTTTTGTGTGTAAATCGACCATTTCATTTTGCTGCTTTTTGACATAAGAATCAACTGCAGAAAAATGCTGCGTATTCTTCTTTTCTATTAAATGTTGTCAGAAGTTACTTTTTCCTACTCTATTCTAAAAAAAAATTCAAGCTTTTTGCTTGCTCTGTTTTCCCCTTCTCTTTTTGCATGGCACTTTGGGACCAAAAGGAATCAGATTCAGATCCAGAACCAGAAGAGGTAATGTTGCTAAATCAACATGTTTTTGCCTGTGTGCTACTCCAACACAACTAACAGACACAACTCAGATGATTGATCCTTAGCTCAGTGCTACACACACAGTGAAGAGGGCCTTGCACAGACTAACTTTGAGAATACACAGTGTTTAACTTCCCCTGTGTTAGAATTAACAACCTGCTCCATTGATGACATCCAATAGACTGGATGTTTCAGGTTTCTGAGCTGGATGACTGGCATTCACTACAGAATCAGTGTTAACCCACAAGTCACAAGGAAAAGGTTTAGAATTTTCATCTTTTGCATAAACTGAATTGCATCAGCTGCCCCCTGAGCTCCCAGCCCTGTTCTGGCACTTACAGATGTTGCTTAAGCTCTGACCCCTACGTGAATGAGTAACATTAGAAAAGCATCCCCACATTTTGATGATGTTCAGCTGTTGGAACACTGTGAGAATAGCCCGCTCCCCAAAGAGGGTGGACATCTTTTCCATGCACTGCACAAGAGATTCAGCAGTTCTGTGGTATGGATTGCAGTTTMCTATTATCATCACAAGAATATTTACCACTCATAGGGTAAATATGACTTCTAGTTTTGTATAGGAAATGAAAGCACAAAAGGACAAGCTCATTGCTACAAGCATTTGCATCTATTTTTTGTTGACTTCATTAATTTTTATGTTAGTAATATTAATGCTGACATAAATCTGGACTGATCTGGAAGAGTGAGGAAAGCTAAAACATCCTGGGGATGCAGGGTTACCATGTAAGACAATCTGTGCATCCGAGGAATGCAGGCTGTTAGGGATCTGTTACACACACTGCTGAGTGTGAGATTTAATTACRTGAGCCTAAAGGATTGCCAGGCATGTACAAAAGTGCACGTGTGGCCAGGGATTTCCTGCTGTTCAGTGTCAGCTCATGGAAAGGCAAGGATTTCCTRACATCTTGAGGGAGACAGTATATTGCATTTCTGTTTATAAAGAATAGTATAAATTATTTAAAGCTTTTCAGCACTCACTAAAACCTTGGAGACATTACCATACACAGTATCTTGTATCACCAGTACTGCACAGCTGATTTGCATTCTTCACAGTTTTCTACCCCTACCACAAGTTTGTGTAGGAAATTAAAGGTTTAATGCTACTTCTAACTTTGCATACTTTTCCATAACCAAATCTAAACAACATGTGCTGGTGTGGATAAATGCTAGCAGAACTGAAATAAACTGAAATTACAAGGCAACCTCAAAAATTTGRTTCTTCAATTTTCATAGTCTGACATTGTGTTTTGCTTAATTCTTTTTTTGGCAAGGATTGTGTTTTCTTTTGAGTAACAGGAAAATTGTATGGCTTTTTTCATCTGTRCCCAACTAACTCTGAAAAGTCAAAAAGGTGGCCTGTGAGGGCCATYACAGCTTCCATTTAGAGGCATCAATAGCTATTAGTGGCATCCAGCCCCAGSTCATGCCTTGGGCAGTTCTGCCATCATTTGTGCAGTTTCATTTCAAGTTCATGGAGCACAGAGGCAAAAATGCAATCCATGCTCTCAGAATGAAAGTGTCCAAGGAAACAATGCACAAAACCTGCTTGCCTTCCAAAAGGACCATATGCCTTTCAGATAACCATATTGGAGTAGTTTATTTTAGACAGGAAGGAATAAATTAAGAGCAATGCAACAAAATACCCAGTAATGTAGAAGTTTAGGTCCTCCACGCTTGCTAAGAGCATTTAAAGGAAATACTCTGCAATGTTTTGAGTCTGCTACTGACCATAACTGTAGCAAAATACCCATGTTTCTGATGGTAGAGACCCTAAATAAATTAAGCCATGCTTTGACTGTTATTTTAAATGCGTTCTTGGTTCCATTTATGTCCATGTGTCTCCATACAACTAGCACTTCAGTCGTGGCTTCTGTATAGCAATTATATTCTAACTTTTAAGTCTTCTGCTTTTTTCTCTTCTAGGTTGAAATGACTTCAGAAAAAAGTAAGATTTTWTTTTTTTTTTCTTGAAAATRTTATGATGCAGTTTGTATGAGAGATGGTTAAGAGTAAAGATAAGCATGAAAGAGTGCTAAGTTTTAACTGCTATTGCTAATAACACCAATACTTWAAAAACTTAATAGAAAGCAATTTCATATCAAAGCAGCTATCCAATTAAATACATTTTAACATGTAAATTAACAAGTAATACAGTTTAAAACCGTTCATCTAAGCATTTACTTTCCTTTGACATCCCTAGTGATCCCGCTATTGCTAATTTGCTTGTATGAATGCTCATCCCTCCATTTTTTGTTTTCTCCGTTTGTTGACACACATTCTTGCCTCATATTTGAGACAGATGACAGTATCACTTTTAATGAAAACCCAATGAGGACTCCAATCTATTTCATTAATCTCATGGAATACAACCATGCCAAAAAGTGATACTGTCCAAAGGAATCAGGCTGTTTAACCCTCCCTCCCTTGCCCCACCCTTTACTGTGGTGAAATATGGCTGGAAATCTGACATGGAAGCTTGGCACAGCACAAACACCCTCTGTACATGCACAATCAGGCCATGAYCATGAGACATCGAGGGCAAGGGCTTTGCAAACGTCTCCTTTATGGGAGAGGCAAATCAAATAAATCTCTGCACACACGGAAATGTCTCTAATGAGAACTGCTTCCAAATGCAGCCATTTCTTGGATCTGATTGGGAAAAGAATGACATCTGTCTTGTTTCCAGTTTGGACTGCAATGTCTTGCCTCGTTTGCAGCTAAAGTRCAGTGTCTTGCATTGTCCTGCCACCGCTTCCTCACTGCCAAGTCCCCRGAGAACCCCAGTGAGCATTCCTGCTCCTGCCACACATTGTCTGGATAGCACTTCCAAATTATTTCCCACTGGAGTTGTTTTCCAACAGGCTAATTAACTCAGTTATTGGCYAGTGAAAGAGTAATACATTTGATACTTATGAAAGTACGTATTACACATCCATAAAATTACTGGCTGGCATTTCAGTGTGCACCAGACAGTTCATTCTAAAGCAGCAGCACCAAAAGACCACATTTTCAGCACCAAAATACCACGCAGCAATCTGGCTCTAATGAATGTACAGCACAAATATTTAGCATTCGTTGCACTCAGAACTGGCAAAATGGGTATTTTTTACAGATAAAGGCAGCTAATTATGTGTTGCTTAGCTTCTCCTTATTTGCATTAGTGYTTTGAGTTTCAATGGGGTGCCAAAATGTGCAGTTCCATGTGATGTGCTACCTTTAAAGGGAAGATGTCCATCAGTAATTCCTAAGCATTATGTTTTGTTTGTAAGTTGCTTCAGTTCTCCACTGTTTTGTTCTGTTCAATATCCATTTTTTGCTAGTCCTTGCTGAAATAAAATATTACTAGCAGGCACCTAGGGCATGATGGGAATTRTCTGCAGCCACCTTCCTGTATACTGATTGCCAGATTAGACAAATATTTCACCACAGTATGTTTTACAATATTTTCATGTACCTTTAATTTATATGATTAATTTTTAGAACTCTTGTTTTTAACCGAAGCTACATACCCAGCAGCATTTGCAACACCTTTGCTTTGCATGGAAATAACTTGCCTTACATGAATTGTACGTATGTGTCTAGTGTGACTGTCTGTGATTTTGGGTTGCCATACATTACATTTTTTAAAACTCTGAAATCACTTCTAAGTTGATTCACAGTTTTTTCTTACTATCTCTCCTTTTCTTCTCTGTCTTCTCTTTCCTCAGTCAGTTCATTAGTTGTCAATGAGGATGTTCCAAGGAAAGGACCATGCCTCTTAAAACAAAAGCCTGTTTGTTTCATTGTGTAGGTGTGAAATCCCCTTAGATGAAATGCCGGTTTGCAGCTGATTCAGATCTCTACGTATTTGATCATACTTTAGATTWTTGCAGAATTACTTTTCACTTTTTATTTTGGTCATTAAGAAAAACAAAACTGTTAACCTAATGTTATTCTGACAGTTTGCTAACACTGGCTTTCTCTTAGAGGAAATCGACTTTCAATCAGTTCTAATGCTTTCCCCCTTTTTTCTTGTTTTTCTTTTTATTTGAACATTGATCTGTAACATCTGAACAATCTTGAGATGCCTCTCTTTGTGTAACTTCACTGTGTTTCTTCTGGTTTTGATTTGAAATTTTGTTGTTGTTGTTTTGGGTTTTTTTTAGTGGTGTCCTGATTTGGTTTGTTCCAGCTTTGATACTGTATGTGTGGTTGTGCTCTAGCGATAAAGTGAAGCAAGTTATTTCCTGCCATTTTCCTTTTCAGTTGTTTTTTTTTCCCCTCCCCCCGTTAGCTTTGCTTTGCTCTTGTACCCTCAGATCTTGTGGATCCACCATTCCCGGCCCATTTTGTTGACCTTCCTACCACTACAGCCAAAGACTGTCATTTTCAGTCCTGATTACATTTTCCAATCTCTATTTTTGATTTCCATTTTACTTTCAATGTTTTTCATTCGCATCAAAGATGACGAGACAGAATCTACAGAAACATCTGTCCTGAAAAGCCATCTGGTTAATGAAGTCCCTGTACTAGCCAGTCCAGACCTGTTGTCTGAAGTTTCTGAGATGAAACAAGATCTGATCAAAATGACTGCCATCCTGACAACTGATCCTTCCGATAAATCCATTAAAGTGAAAGATCTTGAAAAATCCGCTGAAGAAGAGCCAGGAGAACCTTTTGAAATAGTTGAAAGAGTGAAAGAGGACTTAGARAAAGTAAATGAGATTCTGAGAGGTGGATCCTATACTAGAGAAGAGCATGTTTTGCAGAAATCCCTTTCCAAACAAGAACCCTTAGAAGAAGAATGGATCATTGTCAGTGATGAGGAAATTGAAGAGGCCAGAAGAAATGCTCCATCAGAAGTCRCGGAGCCGAGCCGCGTAGAAGTCAGGGTAGACAAAGGGACAGCAAAAAAAGGGAAGCYGGACACGACAGGAAAGGTGCATGTAAAAACAGACGTGCAGCCACAGGCCTCACAARGGGAGGTAGCAGAAGAGAAATCCGGAGCTGTAGTAGTAAGCAAGGATTCTGAAAAAAAGGGAAAAGACTCTCCAAAAACTGGGAAAGCAAGCTCACARGAGCAACAGAAGTCAGCCTCTGAAGTTAAAAAGCCTCTTAGGGCAAAATTAAAAGAAAAGCCAAAGCCAAAGGAAAGCAAGGYGCACAGCGGCGGAGAGAAACTGAGGCTGCCTAAGCTCACTGCAGACGAGGCACCGGCTGGGGAGTCTGGCCTAAAGGTGACAGCTGCTCCGGAGGCTAAAGCCGTGTCTCCCGTTATCGAGGAAACTCCCATYGGCTCAATAAAAGATAAGGTGAAAGCTCTTCAGAAAAAAGTGGAAGATGAGCAAAAAGTACGGTCAAAACTGCCCGTCCGAGTTCCRGCAAAAGAAGGCCCTGCTGAAAAGGCACCTAAAAAGCCAGTGCAGGTCAAAAAGCCGGCAGCACACAAACCCCAGCCACCTGTSTCACCTTCTTCTAAGACAGAGAGACTCGAGGAGACCATGTCTGTTCGGGAATTGATGAAAGCCTTCCAGTCAGGGCAAGACCCATCCAAGAACATTTCTGGACTCTTTGAGCAYAAATCTGTCAAACAGAAGCCACAGGCCCCTGAGAAGGAAACACCCCGCAAGAAAACAACTCCCTCGCAGAGCGAAACGAGGCGGGTGTCAAACCTCAAGACAGACAAACAGAAGGACAAACCAAGCACGGTGTCAAAAACAGAGAAAGAGCCACTATCAAAGAAAGGAAAAACACAAACTTCTACTGTTGAAACTGCCAAGAAAGCTGGTGGTAAAGACCAAGTAAAAGAGCAGAGCAGCAAAAAACCAACCGAACCTCTCCCTCCGGTAATAGTGAGTGAAAGTGCCAAAGAATCGGGGGCTGGGAAGGACAGGACTTCTGATGATCAAGGAGATCCTGACTTCCAGATCAGCCCTGACAGGAAAACCTCAACAGACTTTTCTGATGTCATTAAAGAAGAGCTTGAGGGTAATGACAAATACCAACAGTTCCGACACCTGTCAGTGACAGAGGAGGGAGAGCTTAACTTGGAGCAGGTACTGACCAGTCCATTYGCTGCTGCTTTTCCCACAGAGTATGGGAAAGATGAATTCCTTCCTGCTCTTTCTCTGCAAAGTGCTGCTCTYGATGGGAGCTCAGAGAGCCTTAAACACGAAGGCGTGGCTGACTCTCCAGGCAGCCTMCTGGATGGAACCCCTCAGATCAGCTCTGAGGAAAGTTACAAACATGAGGGTCTGGCAGAGACTCCTGAAACGAGCCCAGAAAGCCTTTCATTCTCACCAAAGAAAACTGATGGGCAAATCGAGGAAGCTAAAGGAGCGGCTAAAGTACATGCAACAGCAGAAACACRTTCTCCGAAGGAACACTCCTCAAAGGAAGATGAAAAAGGTATTACTGAGAGACAGCTAGATGCTGTTGCCGAGACTAGTGAGTCTCGTTCTGACCATGTATCAGAAGAGAGTATACCTCCAGCCTCTGGAGAAGAGGCTGATAAACTTAAAGAAAGTAGCTCAGCTTCCATTATGAAAGATATTAGCAGGGATAAAGAATCCAGAACCACCGCACATTTCACTAAGTCTTCTGAAACACATGACACTGCTTTAGAGAAAGAAAAAGATGTAGCCTGTGAACGCCGCCTTACAGTTAGAAGTCCCCAGAAATTGGAACTTGCACTTGCTAGCCATGATAGTGAAGGCTTTAGCCCAGTTGCAGATGACTCTTTGACTATAAGTCATAAAGACTCCCTGGAAGCGAGCCCAGTGCTCGAAGATAACTCATCACACAAAACACCCGACTCCTTGGAGCCCAGTCCTATGAAGGAGTCCCCCTGCCGTGATTCTCTTGAAAGCAGCCCCGTAGAACCAGCAGTGAAGGCTTGTATTTTGGGGCAGGGTYCTCTTCAGTCTGTTCTTAGCAAAGCAGAAGCCTGCCCAGAGCTGGCATCGGTGCGCTCCAGGATTCTCCGTGACCCTGAGGGAAGTGCTGATGATGACAGTCTAGAGCAAACATCCCTCATGGAGAGTTCAGGGAAAAGCCCTGTTTCACCTGAAACTCCTAGTTCTGAAGAAATTAGCTATGAAATCACACCTAAAATGGCAGACATACCAAAGTCAGCCACGATTCCYGAAGTCAACGAAGAACCGGAGGACAATTCGGAAAGTGAACCAAAGAAGAGATTCACCCCCGAAGAAGAGATGTTTAAAATGGTSACCAAAATCAAAATGTTTGATGAATTGGAACAAGAAGCAAAACAGAGGAGAGATTACAAAAAGAGTCGTAAGCAAGATGAATCTTCTGTGGTTGCCAATTCAGAAGCCTCATGTGAAGCTCAAGCACCAAGGCCAACAGCTGCAGTAGAAAAAGACATACCCACAGTGGTGACACCTACAGCTGAATCTAGAAAAAGTTCTTCCTCTTCTGAAAGTGAGCCAGAATTGACTCGGCTCAAAAAACAAGCTGACTCAGGCCTCTTAATGGAGCCTGTGATCCGAGTGCAGCCACCCTCACCTTTACCATCCGGTATTGACTCCAGCTCTAGCCCCGACGAAGCAGGTTTCCAACCCATCGATTCCCAGCCGTGCTCTGTCGGGATAGGTGAGGCTAAAGCAGAAGGCAAATGTGGCAAAGAGGAGCCGCTTATCCTTGGACGCAGCTGTGAGGCTTCAACGGGCAGTTGTCATTCCGATGGCTGTGCGTCAGCAGGAGGTGCTGAGTCAAAATGTTGTGATGGTACAGGTGGCTGTGAGACAGTCAGTCCTGATGCCCCGGTCACACGATTTGGGGCTACTTTCTGTCACTCCACCAGTGATAGTTCTCAAAAAGAGGTTCTCACTGAATCTTCACAAACAACTGAGCAGTGTGATGCTGCTGAGAAAGACGCCAAAYCCACGGCACCGTTCCCACACAGGGATCTCATTTCCACGGGAGCTGCGTCAGAAAAGGCAGATGGTCTTTCTTATGGACACGGTACCAGCGAGTGCTCTGTTCCACGTGACGGCAGACTGGCCCAAGGTGATACCACTGACCCTTCTGCTTCGGCGAGGGATTCGGGACGAGCAGATACAGGTTGTGAAACATCTCACAAAGCAGGTCACGCTGAGGAGCCGCTAGCGGAGTGTTCATCCCTAACCACTGACACAGTGGAACTYGACAGCTGTGTAGCAGATGCCGCCGATGGTAGCTCTCCGTATATAGTGAGCCCTTATGAAAATGTGTCTTCTGGACATTTCTTTATTGACTCTGAAAGTGAGGTCGGGTCTGGTAGAAGTCTGCTGTCCAGGGAAACCTATTCTGTTGCAGAAGGGAAAGATCAGACTGGCGAAGCTTTGCTTAGCAGAGATATGGGCAGTGAATAYTGCTCCTCAGAGGAAATGTACATGGAGATAGAGCCCAAACCAGAGGATGAATTTCAGACAGTGTCACAAGGGGCTCTGGCCTCAGATTCGACAAAATTATCTGAATCTGCCCTTGAGGATATGAGAGATGAAACAGAGAAATTRATGGGTCAGGTTGTCATCACCAGAACCGATGTGGATTCTGATATGTGGAGTGAAATACGTGAAGATGATGAAGCTTTTGAAGCTCGGGTAAAAGAAGAGGAACAAAAAATATTTGGATTGATGGTAGACAGGCGATCCCAAGGCACGACCCCTGACACAACACCGGCCAGGACACCCACTGAAGAAGGGACACCGCTCAGTGAACAAAATCCATTTCTTTTTCAGGAAGGCAAGTTGTTTGAGATGACTAGAAGTGGAGCCATCGACATGACCAAAAGGAACTACCCAGATGAAAGTTTTCACTTCTTCCAGGGTGGGCAGGAGCCTCAGGAAGAAGTTTCTTTATGTGAAGAAGTGAAAGAAGCAGCAGAGGTGGAGCCTTCAAACCTGAAGGGCTCACCAGACCCATTTGCACCTTCAGAGTTAGAGGAGTCAGATATACAAGAACAAGATRCATTGAAATATTCACCCCCATCACCCGAGTCTGGTGATAGATCTGAAGARATGATGGGTGAAGGTGCCAGCACAGGCAATGCAAAAGCAGATCTTAAATCCAGAATTCCAATTAAAATGGGTATTTCAGCTTCTTCAAAATCACCAAAGAAAGAAACTGCTGCCTCTGAAGCTGAGCCCCTCTCTGGAATGGAGACCGACATGGTCGATAGCAGTCAGGTGCCTTGCCCCATCTCTCCCGAGCAGTGTGCGGTAGAAGATGAATTAAATTTTTCCAAAGTCACTCGATCAATTAGTTCTGAACAGGGTGAGGAGTCCCCAGACTCTTCCCCAGAGGAACAGAGATCTGTGATCGAAATCCCCACTGCTCTAATGGAGAGTGTGCCTTCTTGTGAAAGCAAATCCAAAATCCCTGTAAGAACAGCTGCTGCYGCATCGCAATCCTCGCAACAATCAGAGAACGAGAGCCTTTCCCCGGATGACTCCCTAGACAGTTCACAGTGTGAAGGAAAAGATGACCAAGCAAAACCAAAGTCTAAAATTCCCGTGAAAACMGCTTTCCAAAAAGCCGAACCTCAACACTCGTACGCGGACACGTCCGTCCGCAAGCCGGAGTCGCCCAAAGCGCTCGACGTGACGAGCGCGGTCCCTGCGAAACCAGAAAGCCGGAGTAAATCAGAGTCTGACGCCAGCAGTCCTGTGGACCCAAAGAGCAAACGTTCCATCAAAGCTAGGAGTTATGCTGAGGCAGAGGCAGAGGCCAGGGAGAGGGAGAGCGAGAYCAAGTTTGAGCTAGACTCAGATGAGGCAACAACAGCAAGATCGAAGGTATTTTCTTCACGGTTGCCAGTTAAAAGCAGAAGCACTACAGGCTCCCGCGGTGCTTTTAGTCCCACAAAAGAAAGTAAGGACCATTTTTTTGATCTTTACAAAAACTCCATAGAGTTTTTTGAAGAAATTAGTGACGAAGCTTCTAAATTAGTGGAAAGACTCACGCAGTCAGAGAGAGAACAAGAATTAGTTTCAGATGATGAAAGCAGTAGYGCCCTAGAAGTTTCAGTTATTGAAAATGTGCCATCCAGTGAGACTCAGCAGTCAGTTCCTGAAGACATCTTTGACATCAGACCCATTTGGGATGAGTCTGTAGAGACTCAGATTGAACGTATCCCTGACGAAAATGTCCATGACCGTGCTGAAGGTATTTGCCAACGGCTGGGATTCCCTGTGCGACGCATGTCATGAATTAAACTCTTTTGGTTTTTTTTGTTTTCTTTGGTGTGTGCGTGTGTGTGCGTGTTTGTGAACAGGTGTAATGCGTGTGGCATTTTCTTTTCAGCTTTTGGTGGTTAGTTGTGCTTTTTTTTCCCTTGTGAGCCGTGTTTGGTTATTTTTGTTTTGTGTCTGTGTTCTTGTCTGTGAAACAATCTCAAGATTGCAAACCATAAATGCTTATGGGAAGTGTTACGTTAATAAGCAAACACACTTCTGAAAATATGTGTTGTTATATCATTAAATTGATTGCTTAGGTCATGCACGTTTCAGCTTTTGCCTTTCCCTTGCCCTATTACTAACTATTAACTTCTACTAATAATAAAAGGTTTGGGCATTGATTGCAAGTGAGGCAGGCAAATTTATAGACTTTTGAGTTGTTACACAGAGAGATCTGCAGGAGTTTTAAAGAATGAAGCTTTTTGTGTTCCTTTTTTTTTTGACAGTCTGTGTCTGAAGAAAACTCTGAATTACCAGTAACTTTAATACAAGTTTTCTGGTGCTCAGTTTTCCTCTCGCATACTTGTGTGCTAGTACTGAGTATCCCTTGTGGAAATCAGGAGCTGAAATGGCACGTGCATGTCAGAGATCCTAAGCAATTTCCTGATTTGGAGGTGTCTCAATCCACGTGTGCATTCAGGGAAAATCAAAACTCAAATTCTGCCATCCTCAAATTAGCTCTGGGGATGGGAGGAGCAGTCAGTCCCACCATTAGTGAAATGAATGAGGACTGATGAATGACCATCTGATTTTTCCTTGCCTTCRTTGTAAGTATTTTGTATCACTCCCCATCCAAAAGGTCAAGGACACCCAAATTAACAGTATTTCAGACACAGACCATTATCTGAAGTTCTCTATGGACTGTTCCAACAAAACTTGCCCTATGACAGAAAGAACATGATCAGGAGCCCCTGTCCCTGATGAATTCTTCTACCCTGGCATTTACTAAGGAGGCATGGAAAACTATRGCTCTTGACGTAGTCAAAGTCTTCAACTGAATGTTAGAATGAACTTCTAGAGAAAAAGGCTTGGCCAAAATAGACAATAGAAGTAGGTGCTTCAGTCCTAGATTACATTTTCACATGGAAGCCTGATTTTCAGATGGAAAAACTACATAGCTTTTTGAAAAACCACTAGTTTGGTTACATTTTTTAACCTAAGGATTTACAGGCCTCACTTGAGTTACGCAGCCTGTCCACATTTAGACACAGGAAAATCCAGGGCTTTCCCTTCTTGGGCTATCTCTCCTATGGAAATGGCTTTAAAATTGCAAAAGGCAACTTGTAGCTCTCTTTGACCTTTAGATCAACAGGATGATCAGGAAAGGACAGAAGAAAGACTGGCCCACATCGCAGATCATCTTGGATTCAGCTGGACAGGTAAAACGCAMGTGGTCTGCTCTAGAGAGAAAGGAGGGGAAAGATCCACACTCCTTTCGTGTTTATTTGGGATGGTTTTCTGATTATCTAAAGCTGCTTTATAAAAATATTTCAGAGGCTTATTGTCTTTGGGCTACTAAGATTCCTAAATGAGATAACAAGGAACCTATTTTAAACAATCACTTAAATATTGTGGATTTCATAGACCCTAGGGCAGGGAAATGGTAGCAGAGACAACAAAGTAACATGGAATGAGGTGCAAATGTCACTGACAGTCAGCTTAAGGACTCTTACAAAGAGAAAGGGCTATGCAGGAATCTTGATGCTGTGTCAAACTGCACAGTCTGTCACAAAAAGTGCTGCACACAATCGTGTCAGGTCTGCAGTTTTTTATGTATCTTGCTAGAACAGTATCACACTCCTGAAAATAAGCCAGGCTCCAGGAGTTAAAGAAGAACTGCATGCCAGGAAAAACATTAAGTCCTCAGCAAAGAAGATCGTGCTCTTTACTGTTCTTAGGTTACATTTTCCTTTCCTGTCCTCTGCTTCAATCATKGGAGCATGTATCACTCATCCCAACATGGATTATCTTGAAATCAGTAGGACTTTGACTGTGCAAAGTAATAGATTAAGAATATGCTGAAAATTTAATACAAATGAATAGACAGTCGTGAAAACAAAACTAGAACAAATTGATTCTCATCAAATTAATGTTTTTCAGAATTTTAAGGAGGGCAGGGTAATAGACCTGCATAAATATTCCTGTCTTTTGTTGTGGTAAAGATTGCTCACAGTAAAGATTACTTTGCCAAGTGTTAATTTAGTGGGTGAGATAGTGGTTGGTTTTGTTGCAAACCCATTGGACTATGTAGGATTTTAGTCTCATATGTAGTTACTCTCWATTTGTTGAAGTTTACAGTGCCAGGTTTGCAAGCCAGCCTAAAAATAAGGTTATTTGGGGTTAGGGCTCCCTCTTTCTCATTAAAACATGACAYCCTCCAAAATCAAGTCCACGCATAATGGCAGGGGAATAGAAYCTGAATCCTCCTTTATGAAAGAAGCAGGATAACAGTAGGAATCTCACATATTCTCTGTGGCTTGAGCTTGTTTGATGAACCTGGTTCAACAATTGCATCTTAGTTTGGTGATAGCAGAAAGCTGCCCCTGGTTCTGGATACAAGAAAAATGTTCCAGACTATAAAGTCATCTCTATTGTCTGGACTGCAGTCTGAGCCTGTGCTACAACAGAAGGACATCACTTATTCTTAGTTTCATGGGTTTTCTCAGGTTTTGGGGTTAAACTGTAATTCATAGACATTTATTTTTCTTAGAATGGAATTAGACCAGGSGAGTAGTAATAGACCTCTTTACAGAGATGGATTTCTTTTTCAGAGCTAGCAAGAGAACTGGACTTCACAGAGGAGCAAATTCACCAGATCCGAATTGAAAATCCCAATTCCCTTCARGACCAGAGCCATGCACTCCTCAAATACTGGCTTGAAAGGGATGGGAAACACGCCACAGGTTTGTCTCCAGTTATTGTGTTGAGGTGCTAGTTGAGGTGACAGTRTGTGTTGTAATCACAAAGAAAATTGGAGGAAAATTGAGGCTACAGAAAGGATGAGCATGGATTATACTCATTGCTATTTCTAGTCTTGTCTGTAAAACAGAGCAACTCAACAAATTTATTTAAAGGAGAAAAATCAGAGTGCTAATTTTTATAGGCAGCCAGTTGGTTCTTTTTAGATTTTAGATAGCGCTGCTTCTTATTGGTTAGAGAAGAGAAGGGAAAGAGTGTGTGTGATTCTTCACTCATCTGCACGGTGTCATTGCAATGCCAYAGATACAAATCTGACCCAGTGTCTCACAAAAATCAACCGGATGGATATCGTTCACCTGATGGAGACCAGCGGCATCGACTCCACGCAGGGCCACGGCAACCGCACCTACACGGACACGGAGCAGTCCATAGCACTGGACCATAGTGAAGGTGAGTGGCACCTGATCCAAACTGCCCAGGGCACCCTCCTGCTCTGAAGTGTTGGACCAGGCCCATCTGTTATCTCTCATGAGCACTGGAATTCTTTTTGGAAAGCACAGGCAATATGGATGAATGCAAGCATGGCATCACATGGGTAACGTTTCACCAGGTAGAAGCTCTGTGCTTTAGCTGATTCTTTAAAAGCAAATAACGTTGCCAGAAACATTTGTCCTGGTTTTTTTGTTTTTTTGTTTTTTTGTTTTTTCTTATACAGGTAGCAAAAAACCCCTTTTGGATATGAGTATCCAGGATTTTGTAATTCTGTAATACGATACTATTGCATTTCTTAAGTTTGAAAGTAGATTAGAGGTGGTGGTTGTAAACTGAAGAAATCCCTCCAAATTATTTGTCATATCACTTCTGTAAAACGGAATTTTGTTTTTGTGTGCCTAACTCAATATTTGAAGTATATTAGACAACTGCAAATGTTGCATCTTGAAGAGAATGTAGGAATAGAGGGCTGTTCACTATAATTAGCATTCTCATATCATAGCCTAGTAGTTCTCTCTGTCCAGCTCTGTTCTCTCTGTTTCCCCCAAGTTATTTTTCAGAGTTCACTAGGTTTCCAGTAAATATGGCATATGAATGAGCTACTTCTTACACCTAATCTTATATGAATTTTGTCTATTTTGTACAGTTAGTTTTACCTAGCTACATAATGGATATGGRGGGGACAAGTCACTAGAATCTATACTAATGTGTTTGAAAAAGGCCTGTTGTGAGTTTTCATTCATACTTTGAGGGTTTCAAAAATAATTACTTGAGGTAAATTTMTGGCTAAATGTTATTTTGCCTGTTACTGTCCAAATCTGGCTGTAATAGTGGCAATCTGGCATTCCTTTGGCTAGTCAGCAAGGCAAAGTGTTCAAGAATTTCAGGGAACATTTTGCGCCCAGGAATTTTAAACGCACAYGGAGCACAGGGAAGCACTTTCTGCATTCTGCTAAGACTTGCAATGATATTTCTCATCTCTCTGTTTTTGCAAGGRTTTTCTGCACTGCAAGAAGAAGTGTACAGCTCGAGACACAAGCAAGAATCCCAGAGAGTATCTAAGGACAGCGAGCAAACCGAGCACCCYCCTCTGGTCTCCGAGGAAGACGTGTCTGTCAGTTATTCCCCGTTCCAGGACAGTACTCCCAGGAGCGAGGGAGAAGTGTCCATGGCTGAGCTTCTGAGGCAAGCACACAAGGAACAAGTAGAAGCTGAATTCTCAGGGAAACCCCAAGATGTGCCAGGGAAACCATCTGCTTCACAACAGGAATATTTGTAAGTGTTGAAAGACCAGGATGAAACCATAGGGAACCGATTCTCTTTTCTCTGTGTAATAAGGGAATATTACAGTTTTCTTTGAAACTGAAGAACACACTAGAATTTTTCTCCAATTGTGGTTTTCACTTTGTAACCATGTGAAAGAAGCTTTAAGGCTTAGGCGAGAAAGTCAGTTTGTCACTGTGAACACAAAGCAACACATTWTTCTTTTTCTTCCAYGCATGGAAGAAAAGAGAGTTAATAGAGGAATGGGGTTGGATATTTTTCATGTTTTGGATGATAAGTGATGACATCTCAATGAAACTAATCCTAAAGGACCCTTTCTTCAACTTCAGGATGGCTTTTCAATGGARGCAAAACTTTTTCAGTGTAATCATTACTTACAAAACTCATAGCTGCTTATTAAGAACTGAGATTTTGAAAGTGAATTTCAGATGGCCAAAGGAACTGGTTTTTACAGAGAGAAGACACAAGTACTTAYACGAATAACACACAATAAATGAGCACATTTAAAAGACCTCTGCAGCAAAAATTTGAATTCTGATATGGAGCTGTCAGTGGGGTTAGTGTACTTTGAAAAGGAATTTGAAATAGATCATATTTATTTCTCCACAGTCTCCYTGATTATGTGCCCATGCTGAGACCTCTCTGCAGGGTAGAGTCAGGTATTAATAAGGCAGCAAAATATCAAGAATCCCTATCCAAACAAGTGATTTTCCTGGAGGTGATTAACTTTAATGTAGAGATGTGGCTGCTAGCAGTCAAAGGGCAGCTGAGTGCAGCAAATGTGCTTTGGGGGATTCTTTTGGTCAGGAAACACAGGGAGAGAATGTGGTAGACAGAAAATACCATCTAAGAAAGCTCCTGTTGCAGCGTTAGGCAAAACTACCAAAGCTTCCTAATGATTTATATCAGGAAGTGAATGCCTTTGAACAATAGAGAATACTCTTGAAGACAATATAKCCAACACTACACGAAAGCTGTGACAGCAGGAGAGTATCCCTCCACTGCAGGTCTATTTTGAGCTAGGTGGAAAAYTGGGCTAGATTTAAATAGCTTGTAATGAACGTGCTCTAAGAGGAATTATACAACAATATTAAATGGACATATGCTTGAATTAGATGTGTTTCCTTTATCCATGTATTACACAGTAATACATGTAATAATAGGTTTAAGTTACTTGGGGCACAGGTTAATCATAGCGAKGTTTAACCATGAAAATAACATTACAAACAAAACCTGGACCTCTGCTAAATTTCTGTTTTTTAAAGCTCCAGAATTCTACATGAAAGTTCATTTCTCCACTTTGCATCTGTACAGCTTGTGGTTAGTGTTGTAGCTGTCCCACATCCATCTATAATGATCCAGCCTCTTCCCCAAAAAAAATGAATGGTAGTATGTGGAGATGTGAGGGCACAAGTGACAACAAAGTTCTCTGAAATACTTTCCAAACACCAAGTTTGGCAGAATTGCAGGCAAGGATTGGATATGCATTTGGAGATTTGCTTGGGAAGAGGAGTGGRATTCCCAGGCAGACTACTTACTGTCAAGGAGTATCAGTTATTTCTAGACTTTCCCAGACAACAGACAACATAACACTATTAAGTCAGTGCATTCCATAATGTTCCATTTATGAGAATTGGGAAGTGCTGCATGGTGTAACTTCCTTGGACTGTAATTCACAGTGCCACGACTGCAGGAACGTCCGTGGTAGCTGGAAAAGCAGCGAGCGGAAAATCTGCGCACTCAGCCACGGCAAAGGGAGAGACACAGAAAGTGCCCCCTCAGCCTCCATCCTCTGCACCAAGAGGGGACTCCCCCATCATCCAGGAGCCCGAGGACCCCCAGCTCCACCAGGAACACCTCTCTCCAAGGAGATCTAGTCTCGTCATAGAGGAGTCAACTGAGGAGCAGACAGAGAAGTCTGGAAGGGGCTACGAAGAGCAATCTTTAGAAAAGGTAAATGAYAACTTTGCCTCAAAGTAATTGACACAAAAACCCAAGTTTTATGTCTTGCTTATTCCTTAAGATGAGAATATTTGTAATTCATTTGCACCTGGCACCGAGTTTTTTCTCCTTCCCTCTGTGAGTAGAAGGGTCAGGTAAAGGCTTTTCTGTTGAGGTTTTCAAAGTTGAAGCAAACCCAGGATGCCAAAGTCTAAACTGCAGTTCTGGTTCTGCTCTACTCTYCTTTGTACTTTGGCGTGTGGCAGCTACATCTGCACCAGTCAGTAACAGCAGAAACAACCTACAGTGTACAAGTGAAAGCTGAAACWAGTGTAATGCAGACAAAATAATAACACAAAGGCAAACCTAGTCCAGAGCAGCATGAGAAATGGCATGAAAGAGCTGTAAATTCGGTGAGATGGAACAGAGGCAGGTGCTGTGCATTGCAGGCTACTAAGGATGTACTGGAAGAATGGTGTTTATGTAGCATGTGGGCAATAAAGAGAGATGGAGACAGAAGAGGGAGGAGAACATTAAAAACTGTATGAGGCAGGTCTTGGGCTCTGTGGGACAAAGGGATTTTGTTGCAGTGTTCACCGTGCAGAAGACATCGAGCAACGAGGAAAGAAAGGAACCATATGGCTTTTAGTGGTGAATTAAAATGTCTTAGCAGATARAGGTTTAAGAATAAAGAGCTTGCTCTGTCTGTTCTATGTGGAAGAAAAATGAAGACCTCCTTGGGCAGGAACYTAGTTTTGTAAATCAGGTTAGAGTAGAGATGGTGCAGTTCATCTGTAACAGAAATTGATTCAGCTTCACATTGATTAGAAATAAGCCCTACTGTCTTTGCCACTATGTGGCCAAAGGTATCACTCCTAGAATGAARGGTTTCTGAGCTCTTCCTCTGGGGTCTCAGGAAAAAGTGGAATTGGAAGTATGTCAAATGATTGAAAGAGTATCTGCAGCAGGGCTCAGTACAAGGGCCGCTGGAGGAAAGGCTGCTCTTGGAGTAATGTGCTACTATTTTCCTTCAGTTCTTTTCTTGTTGAAACAACAACTGGTACCATCAAAAAGAAACCCACTTCCCTTATTTATTTTCCCCTTTATGTTTTTATACTATTGCTGTTTCCTAGCTCATTCTTTTCAGCCTCTCTTTGCCCTCTGACATGTCTGAATGYTTAATTCTTCCCTGTGCAGGCGAGATAACTTCACTAGTTGTTATAATTTTTACTGATCTTTCTAGTGCTGAGGCTACTCCTGCACTMGTTAAAACCTCTAGTTAAAAACACTCAGTCCTGCCATCTGTTCACTGCGCTCTGTACTTTCCCCTGTGGAGGATTAAAAGACTTTCACATATTTTTCTATGYAATTAACACAGAAAGTGGATGCAAAATGTAGGACTTGCAGAGCTGGTGTGAGTAGAAGCTGTAGGTACTGCTAGTACCACATAGAAAGCCCTACTTCCATGCTTCCCTAGGAATTAGCAGAGGAATTAGGTGGGCTGGAGCTCACCTCGGATGAGGACGAGATGGTCACCACCAGGGTYGTTCGGCGCCGGGTGATCATTCAGGTACCGAGTGGTGAACGACTGCACGAGCCTTGCTGCCTTAGGCCCTGAGCTGGTGTTGCACCTCGAGCTGGGATGCTGTCAAATAATGCATCTCCATTGGATAATATTCCAATACTTTAGGATTACAGTAACGCTGCTAACCAAACTCAAATTTCACCAGACACCTCCATAGCAGGAGGATGAAGGCTTSTCAGCCCTGTATACCACAAGGTCAACTAACATCTTTGCCTGTGTGCTGTAGCATAACTTTTCTTTGCATGCCTTTTTAAGGATTTATTTCCAGAACAGGTTTTTTSCTAACATCGCTGATTTTTTTTCCCATTCTGTAACCAATTAACTGATTTTAAAACTGCTTATTTTGAGACCCACGTGAAGGCCTCACTTCACCCAACTTTATTCTTTGTCATACAGGCTGATAGTATGCCTGAAATGCCAGCAGAAACAGTCACAGAAGAGCAGTACACAGATGAACATGGCCACACAGTGGTAAAGAAGGTATTGTTCAGTTCTGCCCCTTGCTACCTTCTTCCTCTCCTGTAAAAGGAAGGAAAAGTCATCCACAGAAATGGCAGACATTCTGCTCTGAAGGGGCGTGATTTGAAGAGTAGAGAGTGGAAGGAATGAAAATTTCTGCTCATGAGAGATACTAAAGTGTGAAGAATTGTTTAGACTGTCAGAATCATTCTGTGTTGCTGTGTATAACCTAACAGGACATATTTTATTAACTTTAATTTAAAACCAATGAAAGTTCTGCATAGATCCATGTTTTTTAGAAGAAAGTCTTGTATTTCTTTTTAAAAAGCCCCACTAAAAAGCCCACTCCACTGCAATCTTGTCTGTTTGCTTGTCTTGATGAAAGTAATGGAAGGCTGGGTCTGTAAGAGTCAGACAAACCCAGACTCTAGATCTTCAAAACCYAATCCTGCTTAGAAAAGCAAATTCCGCACAACATGGAAGTGAAAGAGCAACTTCGCTGCTCCTTTCTTTATTTGACAACCCGGTGCTCAGTGATTTGGTCTAGGACTTAGCTGAGCTAGGCTGGTGACAAACTTCATCTTCTGTCTGCAGGGGCAGCATCACACCCCTCCAGCTGGATAGGATGTCTCTGGAACCTGTTTGAGTTCCTTTTAGACTAAATCAGGCCAGCCAAATATTCCTTGGCCTTGTCGCACGGGAGCAAGCATGACCTCTTACAGATAGGTCTGTGCCTTGAACCGTGCCATGCAAAGCCTTGGGTCATCCACAAAAAAATGTACAACCACCCTCCTGAAGGATTTCACATCCTGAACCCTGTAATTCTCCTATTGCTTTGGCCTGCCAGTGCCTCGAGTGCTTAAGCACCAAATGTGTCTCTTCAGTAGGCAYTGAGGAATAAAACATTGAACCATCTTCTTTCATGTAGGAAGAAATGGCCTTTGAGTATATAATAATAGATAAAGAACAAGGAGGAGTATTTACTGCTAATTCTGTGGGGACTGAACTCCATTCCTTCAGGTGACTCGCAAGATCATCCGGCGATACGTTGCTGCAGATGGCACGGAAAAAGAGGAAGTAGTAATGCAGGGAACACCGCAAGCCCCCGTCACGGTGSAGGAGGGAGATGCTTATTCCAAAGTGGTGAAGAGGGTTGTGCTGAAGAGTGGCAGTGAGCACTCAGAGGTAGGGTGTGCTTTCCCTGCCACAGCACAGATCAGCAGTACCCCAACCGGGCTCTTAGGCACTGCATTTTAGAGTGCTCATTCTACCACTCAGTCCTAGAGCCCCACAGTTAAAATACGTTTACCTTAGTGGTTTGTTTGTGCTTTGAACAGGCTGCAAACACCTAGACTTTGACAAAAACTATTTTAGAGCCATATAATTAAAAATAAAAATGCCCTGAAAAGGTAAGTGCCTTCCTGCTGTATTTCACTGTGTGGCTGTATGGACATTTGGATTAGCATAACTAAGTTGTGACAAAGGGCCACAAGCTGGGAATAGGATATGCTTTCAGCAGTCCTGGGCCAGAAGCAAGATGTAACAAGCAGTTATTAGAASTGTGAAAAACATCACTGATACTTTTCTTGCTGGAATTACTCATCAAAATTAATTCCTKATGAGTAAAGGTTTCTTTTTTTGGTAAGTTGACCCTATGAGAGCTACACTTCACCATATGGAGCCCATAGACACGGAAGTTATTCTGCCAGTGCACATCACAAAATGTGGAATTAATCTCCAGCTTATTTGTGTTTTCTAACCTTGCAGGTGAGCCTGTCTGAACCTGCCGTTCTGTCTAGTGCCTCCAAATTCCAGTCCGAACCAGTGGAGGGCCGGAAAGTCAGCAAAGTCATAAAAACCACTGTAGTGCACGGAGAGAGGACAGAGAAACACCTGGGGGATGCCAGCCTGGCTTCTGATCTTCCGTCAGCCAAAGAGGACTTCGAAGAGGTAAAAATAACCTTTATATGTAAGCATTACAGCTAGTGTTGAGAGAAWCCCARGGACAAATTCTGTTCTCCTGAAAGGTTTTGTGGTGRCACASCACRCTCARCTGCTGAGTCTGAAGATGTGTATAACTCTCTTRTTATACTCAGRCACSTTACAAAAGGATTCATATATAAAGRATGTTTAGGGAAAGCCAACATYGCAGAATTAGCTAAGAAACTTGTTAAGAGTTTGARACATGCTTCGATACAACTATTTCTGAAATTAGACCATCCCATATGAGAAACAGGAGRGAGGGATGTTTTAAGGGATGCAGTTGCTTCTTTTAGGTGCCTGTTCAGCATTTGTTCAGCTTTGGATTGTGTGATTAGGAAGGACTAAGGTAGGAAGAGCTCTGGGTGTTTTGGGTGTGTTGTAATTTGAAGTTTATGTTTTCATGAGGCTTTGAGCTACGCAGGTGACCACATGACAGTCCAAGTGCCTGCTTTAGTAGAGAAAGAAATCAAGAGAGAAGATGGATCAGTAATTAAAAGGTTTGGCTTGGCAAATTGGTGAAGTGTGACTTCAAAAGAATTAACACACTCATACRAGTGGATTGCTGTGAGTGCCTGCAGTGAATACAAAGCTGTAGTTGCAGTGGTACTAAAACAACTTCTAACTTGGCTGTAGTGATGCCCTGAAGCACCTAGAAATAAAAAACACACTTTGGAGACAATATGAGTATAGCAAGTAATAGCAAGGCTGCTCTTTATTGGAGGCTCTCACGGGCAGATATGGAAAAATGCCAACCTCTGCATGGAGTGAATACAGGTTTGTTAGTTTAGCAAATGAACATAATTCTAACTGGATGGAGAATACATGGATGGATGCAGAATGGGTGGATGGATGAATGGAGAATGCATGGGTGAATGGAGGATGGATGGCCATTATTGCATCATATTTACACATTGCCCTACCTTCTCTTCAGCATGTCTAACTCTGCCATGCAAAAGCCTGAAAACCAAAATTGTGTSAGAACCACATTCACCTTTCTAACTCAAGTCTCTCCTTTTTTTGGTTCCAGGACAATACTAAGTAAAGCCAGCACAAAGAAGAGGACCGTGATGAAGGACCGCTATGGAAAACATGTTCACCTAGAAGAGCTGGAAGGCACCCCAGAAGMGCTCCCCAGGGATGACCTCCAACAGGACCTGCAGCAGCTCCTTAGGCACTTCTGCCAAGATGACTGGACACAGGAGGCCAAGTGAGAAGCAGCCACCRTGCAACCCCTCCTGTACGCAGCCGTCACCATCCCTGGGTAGCAGACTCATCACCGCTGCCACTCACTGCCGCTTCTACCCGTGCAGCCACAGTGAATTCATTTCTCCCCCATCCCAAATTTCATTTTGTGATGTTATTATTTTTTACCCTGTAAGATAATTTGTGACCAAAGATAGCATCCTTCAGGCAGGATGATTTATCCGCCASGCTGGCGCCCTGTCAGCGTTGCCACTTGTCCCCTTCGCTCTGGCGCTCGCTTCCTGACATGGCCCTTGCCAAGCAGACTTCATCTACAGGCCTCTTCCACTGACTGTGTACGTGCACCATGAAATGGAGTTCACGTGTAAACTGTAAATAGCAGAGGATTTGAACTCACGAGACAGCAGAACACTCACTGCCCATCGGTATCGTGGGTTACGAGGTGTAGTGGCCCTGCGGAACGGCGACGGATCACGGAACGGCACCGCCCAGACTGCAAATGCTGACTGACCCGGGAGGAAGCACAGCAGAGTGACTGAGTACTGAGACTGTTTRTAGATCTGGTCTAGGCAAAGGCAGCTGTTCATGTGAATCACAGCTGACTGTGGCCATGAATAGTGCAGACACCTTCAGACAGCCACTGAATCATTTCCAAAACAAAAGGAAAGAAAAATAACCCCACTAGGTACCCAACTTGCTAAGCAGCTCTATCTACGGCACGGTTGCATATGGCATTAAAGCCTATAGCTCGGGACCTGTGGCAGGGTGTATTAAACAATTGTTACTCCAGTAGTTTCCCGTTTCCATCACCGCTTAGCCAACCTCAATGACCGACTGGGGGTGCTTCCTGTTGGCCACTGCACTGTAGATAACTATGGGACAAAGACTTACCCACTATACAAGGAGAATAATTAATTCACCGTGTTTTATCGAGATTGCCTATTAGCCGATACACGCATGCGGCATTTGAAGGTCAAAAGCAAACCCTCCTAGAACCATGTCAGCTTCTTGGCCCTCTTAGCACTGAGCGAGCAGTTTTTATCTTCTGATCAAGTGTTTTTTAAAGAACAAGTGCTCACAATCCTTGGCAGCCGGTTTCTGTTCATATTTTGTTATGTAACTATATATAATATATATATATTTCTAAACYGACCCTCTGAAAACCACGATGGCATGTCTGCACTTTTATTTTCCGAAAGGGGAACGTAGGGATTTGATGCTTTGGGTGTTCTATACCTTAATATTTAATGGAGGGAGCTCTGTAGGGTTTTAGCATGACACRCATACACACGAACACACCAACTTAATGTTTTTAAACAGCTACTTCATTTTTTTAATAGTAGACTCAACACCAGAATAAAATTGACCCTCTCCTTTAGGAGCAATCCTTTGTCCAAGCTTATCTGGCCTTCTACAATTATAGGGTTCTTTGGCTTTTTTTTAACGACTCACTCAGTGCTCAGAACAAGGGCACTTCCTCATTAAGGTAACGATGCCAAAAGCATGGAATCACCTCTGGAATTCTGGCTTCCTGTGGGCAGAACCACCTGAGGTGCCGTGCTGACACTTTTTGGGCAGGCAAGAAAGGAAACTAAAAGAAAAAAAGTGTTTTGGCAGCCAAACCGAATGAGACCCGTGACAAAACATCTCACAGCAAATCGTGGCTTCCTGACTGTCTGAGACAGCACAGGAGGGTCTTCAAGGATGGGGCTCTCAAGAAGTGCATTTCTGTTGTGTTATTTGCGGTGCAGATGATGTTCTGTGTAACAGCATAATGGTTATTCACCTCTTATTTTGATTTTTTGCTGTGTTATCAGAGAACTTGAATACTGTGAGAAGAAGTGAATTTTAAGTTGATGAATCAGCATCTTGTTCCCATGGTGATAACACTAATTGAATATATCTATGAGGGCATGTATTAGTTAAAAATTTAAAAGATACAACACTAACAATACATAGCTGCAATGTGTACAATGGCTGATTTAACTAAATAAAAATGTACAAGTGTTAAATGTAGCAACGGTGGCTCGCTGGCTTTTACTGCCCACRTGGCAGGATGAGGGACAGTGTCCCCGTGGGGACCTCAACTGCACTGTCACAGTTCAAATCCTCTGCACCCAGCTTGCTTACTTAGCACAGACACAGCAAGGTCTTGTCAAGGACACAACCTAAGCCAAAAGCTACTATTGCCTCTCTTTTCCTTTTCCAGGGGCAGACAACTGTGTATAAACAAGTATAATAATAAAAAATATCCAACTCCACACACAGCAAGCAAACACCCCTCCCCTTGTGGTGTAAACCACACGYCCCTGCAGCACACAACTGTCACAAAAGCTGAGGACAAGCAGGGAATAACAGACAGGCATAACTAACAGGAATTACAGAGATGCRTGAGCCCAAGTGAGCCTCCCTGCCTGTGCTGGAGACCTTCACAGTGGAAGGAAAATGGSACACAAAACAGAGGTACGCTAGCACTGGTTTTTTAAATCCCAACCAGATAAGTTTCACCCAATATTGTTGCTACTCCCAACCAGAAACACTACTTTCCTGAAAGACACTGGCCAGTTCTCCTTAATAACTAAACACCTTTCCTTAATTTTATTTCTTTTCTTAGCAAACAAGTTGTTAAATCCAGAGATTAACTTTGTGCTTACTGTGCTCTGGGCTGGGAAGTAAAGGCGCTGATGCTGGCGAGTCTCTGCCTTCTGCTCTCCTGTGCCCATTCCACACCCTGGCACGGTCCGTGGATGGGATTTTGGGGAAGGCTGGAGCTGCTGGGCTCCTCCAGGGCATTCCCTGGCCCTGGGCAGGAGGCAGCAGAGCTGGCACCCGTGGGTGCTGGGCTCCATCCTGCTCTTTATCTCCTGTCCCAACACCTCCTGCTGTCCCAGCCCATCCTGACATC